TTCGATCGGACTTTTTATCTTAATATTATGTAGACGAAGTCGCGGGCAACAGTTGGTTTATTAAAAAAACGTAATATATTGCATGTGTCACATAATTTTAGGTTTTCATTTGTTTTGTGAGCGTGAATATTTGCGCATGTTTGCAGTCGATATCGGTCTAATACCAGTGTTGGTACACGGCTCACAAATTGGTCCACCTTGTTTCTTTTTATTGGAACATCCTCTAATTTGTTTCTCGTGTATTCTAACTAGTATTTTGACTGCTAGACTACTAAAGTTAGTCTTATGTACTACATCTATACTCTATACTATTATAATAAAGCGTAAACACACACTTCTTTGTTGTCTAAGATGTCAGCAATTACAGCATATTTTTGAATAATTGTTTTTATAATAAAAAGGCCTACACTTACGTCATGCTTTAGGCTATATATTTTCACGCCATTAAACTTAAGGGGTTAATATTTTGGATAAAAACCCTAATGTGGGAAAGAGGCCATAAGTTGCTGCCAACATCAAGGAAGATGTAAACAATAAAATAATTTTTTCATAATTTCATGCGGATGAAGACGCACAGGAATAGGTAGTTTAAAATAAGACTTGTTTTTGTCCGCGACATTCATTGAAATCCGTTCAGCGTAGGCCACAAACTCTAGCTAATCTCCATCCATCCATCTAAACTTTTATATTAGTAAAGTATATTATTTTAGAACGGTTAATTTTTAAAAAGATACTTAAACAATAAAATATTCTTTTTAATACACATAAAATATTGTTTTCATTTTTATTAACATTAGTTTATTGTGAACATTGTTTTTTTTAATTAATATTTAATAATATAAATCCGAAAGTTTGATTACAGTGATGTATGGAGTGTTGTTGGTTAGAGTTTGTAGCCTAAACGGCTTAACATATCTTGATGTTTGGCCTAAATATAGGGGATAGTTTGGAAGAACATATACGTTATTTACTATTTTTTTAATACCACGCGAACTCGTGGGGTAAAGTGCAATGATAAAACATGTTGGTATACAAATTTATTTTAAAGATGAAACAAAAGTAGAATCGTAAGAAACACTGTGTTCCATATATCCAGCGTTTGCACAAATATTATGATTTCGCTCAACTAGAAACACTACATCACAAATAAAAATACATCTCACGTAATCGTGATGAATCAGACTACGTTTACATTCAGCGTACGCGAATTGAATACGTATGTACAACGTATCAAAGATTGCTTTTGCGTACCAAATGAAATGTGACTCTATTGGCAGTAAAATAGATTATGTCACGTTTAGATTTAGTTCCTTTGCCTGAAAACGACTTTTTTACTGTAGCTGATAATGTTTCAAATATGCTTTTAACAAATTAACTATGAAATTCTATATGCATACATTTATTACAGTTTTTATTTTAAAGGATTACTGTAATAAAACATTGCATTTTAGCTTTTCACCGTGAATAGAGTCCAATGCGATTTTTTTTAAATGGTCATTGACACATTATTAAATGAATAAATGTTATGATAACAATATGGTAATGCGTATTTATGTTCAAAAATTTTGAGGACTTTGATGTCCCTAATATCAATACCCGGCGTTCAAAGTGTTAACGTGTTTAACTAAACCGTGTCTATTATTAGGGTATAACAGTAAGTGCCGGCGTCAAATGAGACCAATAGAATGGAATAAAGACACGTAACTTGTTAAATATACGTCAAAAATTGTTCATTGAAAATCGCTTCACACCCAGTTCTCTATTAGGCACGTGTAAAAAAGGGCATAAAACTTTGATAATGCGTTACAACGTCCATTGGGTGTGAAGTGCGTGCAAAGCGTCACATCAAAGTGAACGATCGAACGAGTGAACGTATGACCGGGTGAATGATTCCGCTCGGCTCGCTGAAACTGACCGGGATAAGTGCGTTCATTTACTTACGTTGAACACTGTATCGAATTAAGTACGGATGACGTAAGATGCTCTTAACTCCGAAGTCTTTAGAAACAAAGCAAATTTAAAATACGATAGTAAAAGGTCAACTTATTTTTTTTTAATGTTGACGTTTTTCAATATTTTCACTTTAAGTGTTTGTTTATAATTTCATCTATACTAATATTGTAAAGATATAAGATTTATATTTTTGTAATTTTGTATATATTCAAATAAATCAAAAAGTACTAGGCCGATTTTAAATTATTCTTTCGCCGTTAGAAAGGCAATTTATCTGTGAGTAAAATGGGCATTTTTTAAATTCACACGCCGAAGTCGCGAGTAACAGTTAGTGATTTAAAAAAAACGCTAATGAATAAATCCATTGTATTTTTTTAAATATTCTTCAGCTAAATGGTTCTTGAAAGGAATAATCAACGAAAACACCTTTTCTACAAGCAGGTTCGTTAAGATTCTAGTTCCTTTCATACCACACGTAAGCGTGAATACGAATTCCTTAATTAAATGGACTCCTTTATCTTTCCGGGACGTCGCTAACCTGACATTTATCTTTATAATCAACGCTTTAGTCAATGTAATATTTATTTATTTATTATGTTAATATATCAACAGGTCAGTTTTTATTTTCAAAATTATTAATTTCAATTTTGAAATATTCCATTTTATTTTTGAAATTATGTTCTCTTTTTCAAAATGATTTTGAAAAATGTTACTTTATTTTTGGATGTACAAAATAATGTTTTAAAATTAGGACGATAATTAGATGTTACCTTAGGATGTGATTTTAATTCAATTAGTATGACTACAGGTTGGAATTACACTAATTAATGAAGGAATTTTTGAGCTTTTAAGTAAGATGTTTTCTTTTCTATTTTGTTAATTAAGTCGTGTTTTAATTTATTAATAGTTTAAAAATAGTAGCTGGCTAATTAACAGGACATACAGTTGTTAAATTAAAACGCGACTTCCGAATTTAAAATGACTTTTTTATTGCAGTTTGTATTTTTATATATTACATAGATTTAATTAATTCGCTTTGTTTGTGAAATCGGACATTAAACACACGGAAATAAAGAAAATCTCTCAAATTCATATTCAGTACTTAGCTAAAGTTTCCCTCAGGATCTTAATTAACTAAAACCTCAGCATTTATGCTTTTAACTACCTTAGCAGTTAAGAAACTATTTATATAACTAAATTTTGAATCTAAATAGACACGAAATCTAGATTTAAAGCTGATTCAGTGTGCGTTGACCCTTAAACCGATTCAAGTTGACATTTAAAACGATTTGTTTATGAGAAATAATGTGCTTTGGTAATTGTGCCGTGAACTGTTGGGCAATTGCGATCGGCTCGGTATGCGCTTTGGCGCGGCATTGAGTCATTAAAATGCACCGCTAACTGAATTTATGTAAGTCATGTCACTTAAGATTATGACTGTAGAATAGTGTGAATTGTTATTGTTATTGTCAGATATGCACAAACATGTGACTATTGGAATGTTGGGCCAAATGTTTGCCTGGCCTGGGTTTCCTTTGGTCAATTCATCATCTTTCCTCTTATCCTACTCCCGTGGTATCGGCGCAACAGGTTTTTGTCCTCCACATAACTATCATACGTCATCTCAGTCATCACTCCCTTTTTGATCATGTCACCTTTCACGCAATCCATCCATCTCTTTCTAAGTCTAGCTCTACCGGTGTACCCTTCCACACTCATAACTAACGTTCTCCTTGTAACATGCGATTCATCTCTCCCCATAACATGCCCATATCATGCTAACCTTTTACACCTTACCTTCTCTCCTAACTTCCTTTGGTCAATTAGCCTCCAAGAAATAATTAACAAGTAGTTTTATAACTATTACTGGCCGCTATACGAGTAGTCTATTCTTATTTAGTATATGCGGTAGCTGACACCCACAACTGCCGCCTTTCAGGATCGACGTTTGACCACTTTTTAGCTTAAAATATTTTGTTACATTAGTTAAATAAAGGTTATTTATCCTAACATTTTTAGCTTCAAAAGACTATTGGAGTGAGCGAAGTAACCTGTGAGCGAGTGAATGAATGAACGGCTGATTTATTCGCCGGGACCGATCCCAGCGGAATGGTTACACAGGCCAATCGGGCCGGCAACAAAGCTTTGACCGTCCGCGTATTTAGAATGGTCAAATAGACGTGAAAGATTTCCCTTCTTGTTATTTTAATTATTCGATAGTGTTTGCTTTAACTCGTTTGGCTTTTTATTGGTTATCATAACTGCTCTATTGGATGTCTATGAGTGATTGTAATCTAATAAAATTTTATTGTTAGATTAGCAGCTTTGAAGGAGTAAAACTCAAGTTCGGAAACACATTTCATGAAGTTATGAAACCAATAACACTAATGAATGGTTAAAAGTAGCTGGGAAACTGGCAATTAATTAACCTAGTGTGAACTATGCATCAGTTATTAATGGTTACTTGAATAGTATATGATCACTAAAGAACTGTGAGAAGCTAGATTATTTTTTATTGTTTGGAGATTGTAACCATTTAGTGAAACAATTGAATAAACATTTGTGACGGTGATCGCTTTCCGATGTCGAATGATTCTGTTTAGGGTAATTTGTTTGTGTTTATTAAAATTTGTTATAAAATTTTAGTCATTAATTCTTAGTTTTCTAATACACAAAAGGTCTGTTAACCCTTTAAATGCCACTTTTGGTACTAAAGGGAACCATGAGTTCGTGGTTCTGGACTATGTATGCGTTTTGTCTCACTGAAACAAGAGTATGTAGAAAATGTCCCCATTTCCGTATAAGAATTGAACAAAATACGTTTTACAATATAAATAGGATGTGCAAAAAAGGTGAGTACAGTTCTCATTGTGTCTATAGGCTTTACCCTCGAAATGCGTTTCACAAAAGAATCTTTTTCTTTCACAATGTTAAGTACAGTCTTTACTCCGGGTACAGTCGCGAACAACGTTACCCGTGTAACTTAATTGAAATTATGTATCTAAACGTATTTAAATTTTATATATTAATTTGTTTTTCTTTTACAGATACTAAAACGTTTTTTAAGATTTTCCACAATTTATGGTAAGATATTATTTACTTATCTATACTTCTATACTATTGTGATAAAGCGTAAACACACACTTCTTTGTTACCTAAGATGTCATCAATTACAACATATTTTTGAATAATTCTATTCTTAATAAAAAAACCCTACACTTACGTCACGCAAGGCTATATATTTTCACGCCATTAAACTTAGGGGTTAAATAAATTGAAAAACAATCTTCATGTGGGAAAGAGACCACAAACTACAATCTGCCAACCTTAAGGAAGCAAGGTTATTATGGTAACTGTAATTTTGACATTTACAATTGAGAATTTGACAAATGCCAACAATAAAAAAGCTAGGGATAACTAAATATGTTTTTTAATGATAGAATTATCAATAAAGTTTAAAAAAAACGTATTGGGAGGTAATCTTGTTCTCTATTTTAATGAATTCGTATGTTATTAATATGTTTTATAATGTAAATTCAATTCGAGCTAGCGAAGTACCAGGGCATTATGATCCTAACTGTACCAGCGAAGGGCACGAGATGTCGAACAAAGGTAGCAGAAACCAATTTGTTACGTGATAATATGCCCCCCTCTCCCCTAATTTCTCCCTCCTTCCGATACGAAATGAGTCTTATTTCGACTTGAACTCAACTCTCAAATATAAGGTGAAATATTTCTCAAATCCTATTGTCCCTAATAAGTGACATATCGATTTTTAGCCTTCCATTAAGTTTTTTTTTTGTATACTTTATATTATAATGTCCCTCAATACTAAAAGATTTGGTCTTACTACTGTAAATGCGAAAGTTTAGATTAGTTTGTAGCCTAAATTATTATACGAATGTCGATGAAATTTGGCATAGATGTAGAGGATAGACTGAAAGAACACATAGGCTCCTTTTTTTTTAACTCCACGCGGATGGAGGCGCGGGCGAAAGCTAGTTGTATAAATTTAGAAAGTTGTGGATGCTAGTTCATTATAATACTTGAAAATTAACATCGTCAGATAATTTATTTATAAATAAAAGCGTTAAATCATTACTTTATTAGGTATGTAAACTTTAACATAAAATAACACGATATATTATCTTAAGATCTTAAACTTCCGCATTATTTGTTAAATGTTAACGTAAATTCCAATAAAACGGTACGAAAACCGTCTTAAAGGCAATATTGCGTTCCCCCGACATTCTATTCAACCAATATTTGTCAAAGGCCAAATCACCTCTATAGGGCATTGGGCGACGGTGGCGCCCTCATTGAAACCTACGGATGTGGAGGTAACCCTCCCGCTAGGTGAGAATTTGTAACTGCTACTTACGTAATTATATATTGAATTCAAAATCAATCAGTTTAATATCACCAAAGAGAGTAAAGCTTAAGGTCATAAGTAGGGTTGTAACGGAGGTAATTTTAACGGAAGCGGATGCGGATGCGGAAGCATAGGTTAACGGAAGCAAGGGTCAATAATAAAATGTTAATGGCGATTCATTAAAGAAATAAAATCTTAAATTACGATAATACAAAATGCAGATTGGTACATAATTACAAGATACAGTTTATTATGCAAATATAATGAATAACAATTATAGTTAGTTGAATCCGCACTTGCGGATGCGGAAGCGGAGTTCCGTTACATCCCTAGTTAAAAGCATAGTTTTCACTGTTATAACGTGTGTGAAATAATATACCACAAGTCTTAAAAGCACTGCAGAAACATTGATAATATCTCTTTTATGTACGTTATGAGATGTAAAGAAGTTTCTTGTAGTGGACAAACGCAAATTTGCTTAATACAAGTTGACTAGTCATGTTAATTTATTGTTTGAAAAAAGACCTTATTTCTGTGTAATAAAAATCAATTTAGCATCAACGTAGAGTTATTTTAAATTAAATATCGAAGTGACGACACAGCTTTGTTAAGTTCCCGCGAACATCAGCCACGAAACAAGCTTGAAATTAAAAGCCAGTTTCCGAACAAAAAACCTATCTAATAGTTTTATTTAAAAATTCCAATCTGCCAGTATCATTGTCTAATTTTGTCACTTTATATTTACTATTAGTGTAAACGATTGTTCAAATATAGTTTACATTAAAGCTTTTATTTAAAAGTTAAGTGATTTCCACGTGGAATAAAGATAAAACCAAAGTGAGTAGCCTGTATGTTCTTCCAGACTATCCTCTGCATGTGTGCCAAATTTCATCGAGAACCGTTCAATCGTTTAGGCTACAAACTCAAACAAACATCCATCCATCTAAACTTTCGCATTTATAGTATTAGTAAGAAAGGCGTTGACAATAAGCAGTTTAATTTTAAATCTCTATGTAACATTGACTATTTATAAAAGGACTAATTTTAGTCGGAAATTATTATCTACGCTTAAAGACAGCTTGAACAAATATTTAGTCCAAGAAACCAATTACAGAAAAACCTTTTTTAATCTGCATTAAGCACAATTTTCGCGTCGAAACCAGCTCAAAGATTCTAACTCAATTATTTCTCAACCATGTGCTAAAAATGTGCCGATTTTTCTATCTACTTCATTTGTAAAATTTCCAACGTAATTTGAAATTCAGTTTTGCAGCACTGGAATCGAGGAATTTATTAAATTCCCAGCGAAAACGTCCTTCCGTTCAGTAATGATGGCCAACAGGGCCGGCCTCCGTTTGGTATAACACCATCCAAACTTTATGACGGCTCGCTATGTTTCCTGAGTGTATGTACAGTGTTTGGTATCCGTGGGACGTTATCACATTTAGATTAAGCAAGACACAGGAACGTCAAATCTAACATACATTAAAGTCTACCTTAAAATTATTAAATGCGACAAGTAGAACTTTGCAAAATTAATAAACTCGGGTATAAAAAGAGACTAAGTGAAAATTGACATAATTAAGAAGGGAGTGACAACTGTAATGACGGAAGATAGTCTTGTCTGTTTTTCTTTAGCACAAATATGATAACACACGTATGCAAAAATATTCACAGTAAACTCCAGCTGTCATTAAGTTTGAATGTTATAATATCTAAACATGTTAGCTTTACGTGTCCATTTCCATCGTATTTCACTCTGGTATTATAGGAAATGTATGACGTCGGTGAATTCAGGCCGAGCTATTTTCGTTCGCAAACCGGAATTCCGAATGTTTTATTTGCCCTTTTAAGTTTGCTTTGTTTGGCTTTTACTTTATTATTTTTTTGTTTAATTATAAATTGTATTTTCTGATGGTAAAATTATTTGAAATTTTTGGAATACTGTTGTTATTACACTAGTCTAGATTGCTTAGATTATATTTTAATGTTTTCTACTAAATGTTCTCTGTTAGTTCGCAAGATTGTCGGACCACTCAATTACCTTCATTATTCTCTTAATACATATTATTAATATTGTTATCAAAATGAAGGTTCTTGGAGCCTATTTTGATTGACCCTTTGTTTACCTCTTACATTCGATTAAGAAGGGTCAAGAAAGGGGCTTAGTTACAAGGAGACGAAATTAAATTACTCGTATGTCTAAAATTAAAAATACAAACGAGGTTTTTTTTGGTACAAAAGTGTCGATTACAAAGAACAGTTTCAGGAAATTACAGGCTTTGATTTTGTGTGTCTCTTTCAATTATATTGTACCGAAAATACACGAATAAAGTTCGTTTAGTGATAATTACTACGGGAAATTAAAAGTTTCTTTGACATTTGGGTTTCAATGTTTTTATTGTTTTGTATTCTTATAGGCTGACAGAATATGTAGTCCAGCTTTTGTATTAATCATTATCTATAGATCTATACAAATGTTATAAATAGGAAAGAAGAGGAAAGATTTGTATTTTTGTATGTATTGAATTAAATCGAAATCTGGGCTGATATTACAATTCTTTCACCCTTAGGACCTGCCCCACCACTAGCTGTTAGAAACTCAGATAGCTTAAAAATTACGTCACTGTCGGATAAGGTAACGAAATTCGATATTTGGATTGTTATCAGATAATTTACAATTTGATGGGACAGGCCCTTAGTTAATTTATCTGTGAGTTACAAAGGCTGTTTTAATTTTATGCGGACGAAGTCGCGAGCATCAGCCAGTTACGTATAAATACATTTGTTATTTTAATCCATCAATATTGTATTTTATTAAATGTGATTTCGGAAAATATCCTCTTAAAATGTCTCGAGTATTTTTATTCCGAGTATCTTTGTGTCGTGTTTAAATACTAATCTGATAAAAAAATTACCATGTTAAGATAGCAAACGTCAGCAATTTTCAGATGCGGTCTTTACTACCCCTTTCTAATGAAAACGAACCCCTGAAAGAGTTTATTCGCAACCCTTCCGCTATTAACCGCAATGTACCGAACAACGGGGAATCGTGGCAAAACAAATACACTGGGGCCCTTGTGCAAATATCGTGTCCTTTTTGTGCGTGCGGTGCCCGCGAACTGTCAACGTTTGAGGGGAGAGTGGGGTACGTTGGTATACGTGACTATTTTAAAACGCGATTTTTGCTATTGCAAACTCTTCTCAATTTTTTACTATAAAGTGGAAAGGGAAAGGTGTTTATGATGTTACATCCTTCTATGTTGTTAAAAAAAATATTGTTTGTTACTAGTAAACTCAAAAACTACTAGACTGAATACGAAAATTCTTTTAACGTTTTTTTTTAAATAGTGAAATCCTTTAACCGTTCCAACTAAGCTCTAGGCTTGTGCTAGGATATGGTCCATGACAATATTCGAATGGCAGGATTCGAACCCTTGACCGCAAGATCGGTACTCCGTACCCCAAACCATTAGTTAAAATTGTACATTATTTTTGATTAACATAGACTATATTTCTTATTATTATTAAATGTTTCTAATTTTGGTAATATAATAGTAAATATACCTTTTACATTCTTATAAAATCAAAATGCATAGAGCATTTTGATACATTTACCGTATAGGGGTGTTCAGACAGAAGAATTTGCATTCACAACGGTGCCCTATTACGGAACTGAGCTGTCTATTAGATTCACAAGTCTATGCGACTG